GAAGAAGAAGAAGAAGAAGAAGAAGAAGAAGCAGAAGAAGAAGAAGAAGAAGAAGAAGAAGAAGAAGAAGAAGAAGAAGAAGAAGAAAAAAAAAAGAAGAAGAAGAAGAAGCAGAAGAAGAAGAAGTAGAAGAAGAAGAAGAAAAAAAAAAAAAGAAGAAGAAGAAGAAGAAGAAGAAGAAGAAGAAGAAGAAGAAGAAGAAGAAGAAGAAGAAGAAGAAGAAGAAGAAGAAGAAAGAATCGATAACAGATACACTGCACGCTTCAGCTTAAACCCAAACAACGGACAGACAGTTCCCGCAAGACAGTAATTCTCCGATCCCCCACGGCTAGTGCCCCAGATAGAATGCAAACTGCGTCCAGACTGGGCTAAAAAATTATCTGAACGGAGCATCTGAGAAATGATACCCAGAAACCAGTGGACAGGTCACGAACTCTACTACTGGTCTTCGAGATAGGCGATTTTCGGAAGGTTTTGCTGTTTGTTTTCTCTCTCCTCGCCATACGGAATTAATTCTTATTCATTCTTACCAAGGGTGCCTCAACCCCAGGGCTCAGAACCTTTCAACCCCGCCAACCACGTTTTTTTTTGTGGGGGGGGGGGGGGGTGGGGGTAGGGCTAAACAACCACCTTCGTCCCTATATAGAAATTCTCTTTGAAAATCTGTATACGTTTAATATTATTTCAAATAATTTTTTGGGGGGCAGCAAAACTTTATTATTATTATTATTATTATTATTATTATTATTATTATTATTATTATGCTCCCAAAAATGATAAAGCCCCAGAGGCCTTTTCCTTGCTTAGATCATGTATAAAAAGGAAAAGGTTGAGCACACCCCTTGCTACCTCCCCCCCCCCCCCCTTTATTTTTAAAAGCCATTTTCCCTTCCACATTGTTCATGTCTTATGTTCTCTTCTGCAGCCCTGTGAAGAGATTTTCTTTTTATGTTGCGGGGATAGAGGTCAATCCCTGATGCTAACATGACTGCGTGACAAAGGAGTTAAGCTTAGTGAAGCGCGTCTATGCAGTCTTCGAAGTAAACACAGGATATACTATAACCAACTTCTCATGGAAACAGTCAGCGACCTCTGAGTGTCTGCTAAATCAGAGGACTGAGAGACCGTTCGACACTCATTGAGTGATCTGTTCAATATGACGCCTGCGGTCTTTACTTCACACGACAATTTCCGGTACCCGTTTAGGCTGGTTAGCCTTGTAGTCAAGGTCAGTTGTGAAGAAAAAAAAAAAAGATCCTGACTTGACCCGGATCTAAACCCAAAATGTTCGGTCCGGTCGGCGTGTGGATAAACACTAAGTTATTACATAAATGGTATAGTTTTTTTTTTTTTTTTTAATAAGTTAAATTGGTGTGCTGTGTGAGTTAAGGCTTAGGTTCAAACAACGGATCAATATCATGGCACAAGGGTAGTAACCCATAAGTGCTCCGTTTTTCTACAAACTCAATTCTGAATCCAAAGAATCTCAGCGCAGTGCACGAGCTCCGTAAAACCAGCGAGGATCCTGGAATACTTTGGGTAGATTTTAAACTCCAAATTTTTCCCGGGCAGCGCCTTTAGACTACTCTTTTCGATTCCCAACTGCCAAGGGACTCTTTTACGTGCGCAACAATACACACGGGCGTCTGACAATACTACCCAGAGACCAAGAGACAATACTAGAAGTCCACGTGAAAAACCTTAGCCTTCACCGGGGCCTGAACCCGGGATTTCCAGCACACATATATTATATGAATGTCCCGAGTGCTGTAGTGACAATCCTGAGCTTAATACTTAACACGTAACTTAAAATGAAGGTAATGATGAAGATGACGATAACAGTTTCATAATTCTCAGTGTAAACAGATAAGTGTTCCATCCCCTACGTCACTCTAAACCGTAGGAAGAACTTGAGATCACCAGCAGTAATCTCCCCGAATTATCGTATTTAAATATCACTTAAGAGCAAATGCTGGTACAGTCAAACGACTAGTTTCTCCTTAAGTCTAACGGCCACAGAAGTTGGGTCATACCCTATAAAGCTCTACTAAGAACCAGACACATCTTTGGGATTTCAACAGATCAGTTAAATGTCGTTCAGCTTCTCGTTAACACCCGAGAGAAGCCAGATTTCGGTCAGGACTGACAAAATGTTGGTTTAACGTTGAAGAGTTTGAAACCTTCAGTCATTTAACTGGCTTATGTTGGCTTTTTGGCTTAGGCGTTACAAATGCGGTCTGAAATTCCAAGATACCTGTTTGATTCCAGTTGCGGGAGGTCTAACAGCAGAACGCTTTGGATTGATTTCGACAATTCTGTCGAGAGCAGACCATTAAGTAAGCAATGGCAAATTCATCATCACCATCATCAGGTGATTGCTGACTGGCTTGGGCGATCATGCCTCACCACAATCTGCAATCTCCTGCAGCATATGTCAGTTCGTGTGTCGACACACCACTATGCCATGCAACAAGACTGTCAAGAATCTTCTCTCGTTGTCTTCCTTTATCCCTCCTTCCACATATCTTTCTGGTGGTCACAACATGTTTTATTTTCCCTCTTCTCATAACATGGCTGAAAAATGATGACTGTCTCCGTCTGATGTCTGTGATAAGTTGTCTTCGGGCTCCCGCCTCTTTAAAACCTTTTGATTGCACTTTTTGGCTTTCCAAACTACTGACAGTAAAAGTGTCAAGTAAAATTACAAGCGGGAAAAAAATACAAAGGTGCTTCGTAAGGGCCCACCCTCTGAAATTGTCAAGAAGCTCGTGGGCCGAAACGATTGTGGACGAGCGATCACTTCTACTGATGATTGGTAGACTCCTGCTGTACATGCTTCCCTGTGGAGTTTCTTCTAAGGTGTATCTTTCCCTACTTTGAAAACTCCAGTCATGTTTTTATTTTGTTTCTTCTCAAAATCAAGTTGTATTTTGTCCCCTCACTGCAGCGTATGGTGCACAGGAAACGCCACAGTCGGGTGGCTTTCAGGTAAAAACAAGTAACGACGAAATTATTGAATCAGTATCATACACAGTGAAGATGTGTTTCAAATATGTGTGTCAATGACTCTTACGCAATCACTTAAAAAAATTAGAGCCTTTCTACTAAAATGTTACAGAAAAATTCTTAGAAAACCGTTGACCAAGAAAAATAAACATATCGATAAGTTAACATCATAAAAAGGTAAAAGTAAAGTCTGGAGATGTGAACCACCGTCACTGCACGGTTTTAAACCATAAGTGCTCTGCGACCAGTACGGACAGCTAATAAGAAATTGTCCACCTGTGTCACCGTCCGCACGTAACTCCGAAGCTATAGCAAAGTTGCTTCATTTACCCCAGAACACTGGCCGAGTCACAGCTGGATTTGAAAGTGAGTCTCCTATCGACTACGCAAACGCGGCCCCCAAGTTAACATCAATTTAATACTGAAGATAACTGTCTCATCAACAGCATCCTGTCGCAATAGCTGTGGTATTTTGGCCATGTTAAACGTCATAACTGTCTGCAAAGAATTTTCAGGAGAACGAGGCAGAAAGTGGATACAAGACACTAAAGATGCATTGTCTATGAAAGCACATAGGGCTGGAGAACTGGCTAAAGAAAGAGAGACTTTCATGCGTGCCGCGATGAGAGTGACTCTCTGGATAGTAATACGAAGAAAAGTGATGTGTATTTTTTTAGTATTGTCTAATCTATGTATGTGCTAAAGTAGACCCTATAACCGGAACGTTCACGTTTTGATTGTGTTAGTTATATTGTGAAGCTCGCTGATATACTTTTCGTTCGGTTTTATATATTTCTACGCTCTGTGAAGAACCTGTGGATTAACGATGATGACTGTGTTTCAGATTAGACAAACATATTTTGAACGCACAAGAAAAGTTACAGAAAAAAACAATTAAAAATTAATACAAATCAAAATGCATGCGCAAGCAAGCTAGCACGCTACAGCACGACATTTAAACGCTGCATCGCATGCTCAACCACTAGACATTTTCGCTACATGGCTACATTATTAAAGTGCTCGCTACATCGCTAGGAGTAGCCGGCGCTAATTAGACATTAGGTTTAAAAAAAACCAATGCAGGAATATGTTTGGGAGGTAGCTGCAGCTGTGCGATTTGATGATAACATAAACAAAAACAGATGATACACTGTAAATCACACATACATTTAAGACAAAAAGACGGTGTTAAGTTTTATTGTTAAGTTTTACTGTTAAGTTTTATTTGTTAAGTTTTAATGTTAAGTTTTACTGTTAAGTTTTATTGTTAAATTTTGTTAGGAAAACAGGTGAAGGGGCAATTATGTTAGTTAAGTTGTTTGAAATGTAATATCCCATTTTGAATTGAGTGTAATGGGGAACACAAATGTATGTATGTATGTATGTAATGTATGTATGTATGTATGGATGGATGGATGGATGAATGGATGGATGGATAGATGGATGTATTGTATGTATATTGCATTGTTTTATATATATATATATATATATATATATATATATATATATATATAAAACTAATATTACAATGCATGTGTGTTTTATTTGTTATTCGTTTTACTATGTATATAGTAAAATAAATAACAAATGAAACACACAAATATTTGTATAGTTACCTCAGCTATACGCAAATAATTGTAGATGTGTTTCTGCGCAAGTGTTTTTGAGTATAAATAAATAAAATGCAAAGAAACATCTATTACGAAAGGAGGGGTGGTGGGGGGGGGGGGGTGGGGGGGGGGCAGAATCAACGGGATATAGTCAAAAAGAGATCAGATGAAAGCTGCTTAATGCAAAGAATAAACAGCTCAACATTAATTACATTTCAACTTCCTGAATGCGATTTTTTTTTAATGATAACCTCTCATAAAACTGTGTTGTTACTGAGTCTACAGATTGTTGATGAATGTTGTAAAATGTTGTTGGATTACTTGATAGAAACACACTGTTGGAGAAATAATTAATGGTTAACTTTCCACACACAGAAGACTTACCTTCAGTCCCCATACACAGGGATACCAGGGTAAGGGAGAGAACTGTCTCAAAGATTTTGTTGTACATTGTAGACAAACGTCTGGATCTCGATGTCTGTGTTTTTTTGCTGGAAAATGAAGACAACAGAAATAAAGTAAATGAGATAGTAAATCATTGTCATCATCATCATTATCATCACCACCACCACCATCATCATCATTAAGTCAACTGGCGTAGGCGGTTATGTTTTCCCAGAATCTGCGATCTTCTACAGCATGTGAAAGTCCATGTGCTGACACTGTAGTAAAATATTCATTTTTACGTCCTTCTTAGGACGTTATTTTTTGTTATTTGAAGCCTCACTCTGGCTTTTGCCAGGGGCCGCAATATAGGCAGGTCATTATTATGGCCAAATGTCTGAACGCGGTTTCTGGGACCTCTCCACGGTGATCCTCATCCGCATGGTGGCACTTTGTGTCATCGGGTGTTTATCGCTTGTGTGATGTCCTGGTGGGGTAAAAAAGCCAAGCCACTGTAGTAAAAATAATTCCTTACGTCCTACGTCCTTCTTAGGACGTTATTTTTTGTTATTTGAAGCCCCACTCTGGCTTTTGCCAGGGGCCGCAATATAGGCAGGTCATCATTATGGCCAAATGTCTGAACGCGGTGATCCTCATCCGCATGGTGGCACTTTGTGTCATTGGTTGTTTATCGCTTGTGTGATGTCCTGGTGGGGTAAAAAAGACAAGCCAGCCGACTGTAGTAAAATACATCCAATCTCGTCCTGTTTAGGACGAAATTTTTTGTCATTTGAAGCCCTACTCTGGCTTTTGCCAGAGGCCGCAATATAGGCAGGCCATATATATGGCCAAATGTCTGAACGCGGTTTCTGGGACCTCTCCACGGCGGTCCTCAGACAGTCAGTCACCATATCTATTAAAGGCTATTTTTGCTACCTCACTCTCGTCATCTCCACGTGAGATGCAATTTTTTTGTTATTTGAAGCCCTACTCTGGCTCTTGCCAAGGGCTGCAATATAGCCCGGCCATAAATATGGTCTAATGGCTAAACGCGGTTTCTGGGCCCTCTCCACGGATTATCCTTATCCAAATGGTGTCACTTTGTGTCATCAGGTGTTTCTCTATTGTGTGATGTCCTTATGGGGTAAAAGAAGATAGATGGGACCCCTTTGTGGGATGCAATTTTTCGTTATTTAAAGCCCTACGGGCCGCAATATAGCCCGGCCATAAATATGGTCTAATGGCTAAAAGCGGTTTCTGGGACCTCTCCACGTGTGATCCTCATCCACATGGTGGCACTTTGTATCATCGGGTGTTTATCGCTTGTGTGATGTCCTGATGGGGTCAAATGTACTACTACTACTACTACTACTACTACTACTACTACTACTACTACTACTACTACTACTACTACTACTACCACTACTACTACTACTACTACTACTACTACTACTACTACTACTACTACTACTACTACTACTACTACTACTACTATTACTACTACTACTACCACTACTACTACTACTACTACTACTACTACTACCACTACTACTACTACTACTACTACTATTACTACTACTATTACTACTACTACTACCACTACTACTACTACTACTACTACTACTACTACTACTACTACTACTACTACCACCACTACTACTACTACTACTACTACTACTACTACTACTACTACTACTACTACTACTACTACTACTACCACTACTACTACCACCACTACTACTACTACTACTACTACTACTACTACTACTACTACCACTACTACTACTACTACTACTACTACTACTACTACTACTACTACTACTACTACTACTACTACCACTACTACTACCACCACTACTACTACTACTACTACTACTACCACTACTACTACTACTACTACTACTACTACTACTACTACTACTACTACCACTACTACTACCACTACCACTACTACTACTACTACTACTACTACTACTACTACTACTACTACTACTATTACTACTATTACTACTACTACTACTACTACTACTACTACTACTACTACTACTACTACTACTACTACTACTACTACTACTACTACTACCCCCTCTATGACATAATACATGGTGGTCAAGAATCTGCTCACATTGTTCTCTTGTGTCTCTTTTTCCACAGATCTTTCCAGTGGTTGCAACATTTTCTAGTTTCCTTCTTCTCATAATATGACTAAACACCAATGACCATCTCTTTCTGAGGTTTGTGATGTAAGTTGTCTTTGAGTCCTCCCTTCTTTCCAAACATCTGGGTTTGCTATCATTGGCTATCCAAAGAATTACAAGAATACTTCTGTAAAACCACACTTATAGGAACAAAGACTCTGTTTGGCTTGTCGATTAATTGTCTAGGATTCCGGTAGTAAGCTAATCCTGAATCCCATCCAGGATTCACAGCTAAATGTCCAAACTGGCTCTATGTTGCATGTGCGAATTCTATATCTGACCTTCAGTGACCAGGATTTTTTACGTAAAAGGTTTTTCATCTTAAAAGACGCGGTTTTAGCCTGTCTTCTGTTCTTCATATTTGTGATACATCTTGCGTCGGATGTTATGCACGTGCCTAGATACTTTTATTTCCGTACTTTAAAATAATATGTGCACGAGTAACGGATTCAGCTTACGCCAGCACTAGTCTGACGAACTCAAATTGTATAAGAACTTATTCCCTGCTTTGTGGTATATGGGGTAATAGTTGTTAACCCATAATGAATAGAAAAACTGACATTCTCTCTGCCTGTTCCTCTCTCTCTCTCTCTCTCTCTCTCTCTCTCTCTCTCTCTCTCTCTCTCTCTCTCTCTCTCTCTCTCTCTCTCTCTCTCTCTCTTTTGTTTTGTTTTATATTTTTGTGTCGAAGAGAAGAGCTGCCGTACTCGTTGGCATAATAATGTTTACATTTGAAAGAAACGTTTTTAAAAACCTGGCCATTCTCTCGTAATTTCTGCGACACTGAAATGACCGAGAAAGTACATTTCCCCAAAATTATTATCTACATCCAAATACAATTCCCTATAGATTTTCCCTACTGTTTTCTTCATCTAATTTTTGGGGACAACGCTCCGTTCATTGGAAAATTTTGGGATGTAGTTTTAATTTGTAAAGTCCAAATTATTCACACATGTAAACGTAACTGATACTGCAGAGCTGGGAAAATAACGAAATTCTCCGTACCGTGTCTGGACTTCAGGGCGATTTCTAACAATCAGGGGCCTCACGTTTAAAGGGGCTTTCTAGGGTTTGTACCTGTGGGATTCTCATTTGAATAATTGCGCACTGCACTTTGCGTCACGGGTGTTAATCGCGCAGTATACGATCCTGCTAAAGAAATTTTAAAAACTTCCAATTACTGCCTTTATTGGATCACTTTTTCGGGGTAGGCAGGGGGGTCTTTGAACCTGAGAATTTACTGCTGCATAGCTAGTGCTGTAGCCACGACTGTGCAGGTACAAATTTTATTTTGCTGCCGACAGAAGAAATCCTCAGCCTTACCGAGGATTCAAACCCGGGTCTCCCGCTTGAGAGGCCAGCGTTCCAATCTTTCGGTCAGCCGCTCCTCGTATGCGATCCTAGTGGAGTTAAACTATAATCGACAACAAAGAATGCAATGTTTTATAATTTGATATTTGTCACCACAAATGTAAGGCACATCAAGTGACGTCTAAGATACAACGATGAACTTTGACTGAATAGATAGCCTGAACTGGTAGGTTATGAAACTCTTTCAGCAAAAGATCATGTTCCATGCATTCATGCGTCTTCATTAAGCATATAGTAAAAGTAAAAGAGTAAAGGACCCTTTTCCACGCCTTTAGGTGTATAGGACACATAGGGCTAGACCTGTATTTTTACAGAGCAATCGGCACAGGATGGGTGATGTGGTCAGCATCACGCCGGCCGAGTTACTTTCCCGGGACTGCACCCGGTACTTAAAGCTTAAGCATATAGTGTTAGGCCTATATTTGTATCATCAATGGGCATTCGGTGGGTGATGTGGTCAGTATCATACCAACCGCCTTTACTTCCCAGGACTTTAGCTGGTATCCATTTTCAGTTGTGTGTGTGTTTTTTTTTTTATGTCAGCTTCCGTTCAGATTTTAATATGCAACGTTTAGGTCGGCAGTCGACCAACTAATGTGAAACTTCCAGTAATGCGTCTCTTCATAATTTAATAGTTACACAATTCTTTGTCCCGTCTCTCTTCATAATAATACTAACTGTAAAGTTTCTCTTCCTAATATTATAGTCTATGTCTCCGACATTTCTCTTTATAATCTAATCGTTTATTTCTCTTCCTAATGTAATAGTTTACATAATTCTTTGTACCATTTATCTGCATAATATGATCGTTTATTTAATTCTTTGCCAAATCTCCTCATATGAAGATTATACAGTTTAATAGTGACATTTATCTTCATGATGTTTAGCAATATTTCTACAATGAAGACCTTTTTTTTAAATTAATCATAAGCTACCTTACTGCTGACCATGCGGCCGCTACTTCTACTACGAATTAATCAAGTGACAGAAAGTGTATTGATCGGCACTCTTTGAAAGAAGTAGAAAGATAAAAGAACACACTAGACAGCATTAAAATAGAAAGCTATAGTTACTGTGGCGGGAATTGAGCCTGTCACCTCCAGACGGCGTGTGCGCCTCGCCATGGATACAAGTGCACTAAGAACATGGTCAACTAGGCACTACTTCTACTACCACGATTGCTACGATTCATGCAATTAAGTTATTTAGAAGCAAGTTATTGCATTACTAAACATAACTGAAATAACCATGCGAAATGGGTGCACTCTATAAACTCTAGAGCAGCGGTTCTCAACCTGTGGGTGGCGACCCTTTTGGGGGTCGAACGACCCTTTTACAGGGGTCGCCTAAGGCCATCAGAAAACCCCCACGTCAAGTTATGAAGTTGCAACAAAAAATAATGTCATAAATGAGGGTCACCACAACACGAAGAACTAAATTAAAGATTCGTGGCATTAGGAAGGTTGAGAACTGAACTCTAGGAAGGTTGAGAACTGAA